TGTCCTCCTCCTCTCCCTCTCCCTCATCCGCTTCCTCCTCCTCCTCCTCCTCCTCCTCCTCCTCCTCCTCCTCGTTTCCATATTCCTCCCCCCTCCTCCCCCCCCCTCCCTCCTCCTCCTCCTCCTCCTCCTCCTCCTCCTCCTGCCTCCTCCTTAGGCCTCCTGCCCCCTCCTGGGGCCTCCTGGGGCCTCTTGGGGCCTCCTGGAGCCTTCTGGGCCTTCCGGGACCTACTGGGGCCTCCTCGGGCATTCCTCCTCCTCCTTTTCCTCCTCGTCCTTCCTCCCCTCAGCCTCTTCCTCTTCCTGCTTTCCTGTCTCGTCCTGCATCATCCCTCCTCCTTTTCCTGGCAATCCTCGTCCTCCTCGTCCTCGTGCGGAACACGACCCAGAAGGAGCGCACGACATGCGTCCCAGCCGATACGCGCCGGAGGACGACCCAGAGGAAGCGCGCGCCGGAGGATGACCCGGAGGAACCACGTGAGTTGCGGGACCCATAGGAAAGCTCCCGCCTGACGCGTCCTCACAATTCACTCACAGACGAGGGTCCCGCTTGATACTTCTTCCAAATTCAGACCAGAGGAGCCCAAAAGTGACGACAGTTACAGGAATCCGATGGCCCGCTCGGATTAATAACATGATCTGCGGGCCCCATAGGAAAAGGGGGCTCCCGCCTGAGACTTGCTCACAATTCACTGACAAACGAGGCTCCCGCCTGACACTTCCTCCAAATTCAGACCTGAGGAGCCCAAAAGTGACGACAGTTACAGGAATCCGATGACCCGCTTGGAGAAGTAACGTGATCTGCGGGCCCCATAGGGAGGGGGCTCCCGCTTGAGACTTCCCCACAATTCACCCACAGACGAGGTTCCCGCTTGATACTTCCTCCAAATTCAGACCTGAGGAACCCAAAAGTGACGACAGTTACACGAATCCGATGACCCGCTCGGATTAATAACATGATCTGCGGGCCACATAGGGAGGGGGCTCCCGCTTGAGACTTCCTCACAATTCACTCACCGACGAGGCTCCCGCTTGATATTTCCTCCAAATTCAGACCTGAGGATCCCAAAAGTGACGACAGTTACACGAATCCGATGACCCGCTCGGATTAATAACATGATCTGCGGGCCACATAGGGAGGGGGCTCCCGCCTGAGACTTCCTTACAATTCACTCACAGACGAGGCTCCCGCTTGATACTTCCTCCAAATTCAGACCTGAGGAGCCCAAAAGTGACGACAGTTACAGGATTCCGATGACCCGCTTGGAGAAGTAACATGATCTGCGGGCCCCATAGGAAAAGGGGGCTCCCGCCTGACGCGTCCTCACAATTCACTCACAGACGAGGTTCCTGCTTGATATTTCTTCAAAATTCAGACCGGAGGAGCCCAAACGTGACGACAAATACAAGAATCCGATGACCCGCTCGGATTAGTAACATGATCTGCTGGCCCCATAGGGAGGGGGCTCCCGCCTGAGACTTGCTCACAATTCACTCACAGACGAGGTTCCCGCTTGATATTTCTTCCAAATTCAGACCTGAGGAGCCCAAAAGTGACGACAGTTACAGGAATCCGATGACCCGCTCGGATTAATAACATGATCTGCGGGCCCCATAGGGAGGGGGCTCCCGCCTGAGACTTCCTCGCAATTCACTCACAGACGAGGCTCCCGCTTGATACTTCCTCCAAATTCAGACCTGAGGAGCCCAAAAGTGACGACAGTTAAGGATTCCGATGACCCGCTTGGAGAAGTAACATGATCTGCGGGCCCCATAGGGAGGGGGCTCCCGCTTGAGACTTCCTCACAATTCACTCACAGACGAGGCTTCCTCTTGGTGGATGATGGTGATGGGATGATGACGGCGGTGTTTGATGATGAAATATGATTGATGATGATGATGATGATGATGATGATGATGATGATGATGATGATGATGATGATGGTGGTGGTGGTGATGATGACGACGTGATGATGATGATGATGGTGGTGATGATGAGTGCTGATGGTGAGTGATCGTGCGATTATGATGGTAAATGGTGGTGATGATGATGAGGACGAAGTGGTGAGTCAGCGAGTAGTGATGATGATGATGATGATGCTGATGATGATGATGATGATGATGATGATCGTTCGATGCCGATGATGGTGAGTGATCGTGCGATGGTTATGGTGATGCTGATGGTGATGATGATGATGATGATGATGATGATGATGATGATGAGTGGGGAGTGATGGTGATGGTGATGATGATACGGAGGAGGAAGCAAAGAGGAGCAGAGGAGAGGGAGGAGGACGAGAGATCCTGCGCGGAGGGTGTGCAGAGAAAACAAAAACCCCACTTAGGATGTGGGGAAAAAAAGGGAATCCCTCAGATTGGCATCGTGATGAGGAGGTGCCCAGCATAGGGATAGGGATATGTTCCAGGCTGGTAATCTAGAGGCTAGTTTTATCAGAGTGAGGGGGCCGAACGGTCATTCACTGTCCCTGGGTGCGTGGCTGAAGTGGGATTCCGCGGTGCGGATTCGTGTTGTTGTTGTTGTTGTTATTGTTGTTGTTGTTGGTTGTTGTTGTTGTTTGTTTGTTTGTTTGTTTGTTTGTTTGTTTGTTTGTTTGTTTGTTTGTTTGTTTGTTTGTTTGTTGTTGAACATTATTACTTCTAAAGAAATATTATTGTTGAGACCCCTGGTGCGCGACCCCCCTCCAAAACCTAGGCCGCAGCCTCATTTCCTTCATTTTCTAGCGAAAGCTTCAGAAAAGTGGATTGTGTCCGGATCCGGTTGTTTTGTTGTAATCCGTTTTCCCTTGCAAAAAACACTATAAAATGAAAATTCTTGTTCTTACTTGATCAAATTGCAAGAATCCCTTGCAAAAAATAAGGTAAAGTGGACATTCGTGCGCGCAAGACGAAATCCTTCCAAAACCTTAGGTTTCGTAGCGATTTTAACATAAAAACATCAAAAACCCAATGGTTTTTTAAGAAAAAATTGTCAAAATGTTCTTCCGCGCGCTCTTGCGGATTCGTAGGAAAACCAACACTTTTTAAACAATTCTGTCAAACGGGCTTTTGCGAGCAACTTTTTCGAACTTCTGCGACAACGGTTGCGCACCTGCCAGGGCGCTGTCTCTCGCTCTTTCTCTGCTTCATATCTATCATACGTAACACATCTACTTGTGTAATCGCCTTCCCAGGAATTTGCCTCAAAAATGTGACCACCTATCTTGGCACTGCGTACCATCTCACGTGTACCGTGTACCACATCTTCTCAGGTTGCCTCACACATGTGACGAATCTCTTTCTATCTCTCTCTCCACTGGCTCTCTGTCTTGCTCTCTCTCTCTCTCTCTGTCTCTCTGTACTATGTATGTCATACGCAACAAATGCACCATGCGGGGCACATGCGGGGCCCAAACAAGTGATCAACCTCTGCGGGTGTGTACTCCACGCCAGTGTAGTATCCACGATCGTCCGCGCGCCACGAAGTGAAGTGTCCTGACGTCATAGGGCGGGAAGCTGGGTGTGGGTGGTTCCCGAGAGTCGTGTGGATGTTTGGTAGAGCTTGCATTGCCCCCCCACGAAGTGGGGGTATTGGCTGGCGTCGCATGAAAACCCTGGCACTGGGGAGAACACTGAGCGTTCGGGTAAAATGATTGTTGTTGTTGTTGTTGTTGAGGTTGTTGTTGTTGTTGTTGTTGTTGTTGTTGTTGTTGTTGTTGTTGTTGTTTGCTGTTGTTGTTTGTTGTTGTTTGTTGTCGTCGTCCCACCCGCAACCCGCCCCGCGACCCACCCGCGACCCACCCCGCGACCCACCCCGCGACCCACCCGCGACCCACCCGCGACCCACCCGCGACCCACCCCACGACCCACCCCGCGACCCACCGGCGACCCACCCGCGACCCACCCGCGACCCACCCCGCGACTCACCCGCGACCCACCCGCGACCCACCCGCGACCCACCCGCGACCCACCCGCGACCCACCCCGCGACCCACCCGCGACCCACCCGCGACCCAAACCACGTTCAAGGTACAAACCAACATTTTCGGCGCCTGCGGCGGGCTTTTTTTGCATTCCTTCCAGGTGGAGAGCCCGCGACCCACCCCGCGATCAACTCGCGACCAACCCGCGACCCAAACCACGTTCAGGGTACAAACCACATGTTTCGGCGCCTGCGGCGGGCATCTTTTGCATTCGTTTCAGGTGGAGAGCCCGCGGCCCATCCGCGACCAAACCACGTTTCAGTATACAAACCAAATTGTCGGCGCTGCTTGCTTTTGCAGGAGGAGGAGGAGAGGAGGAGGAGGAGGAGGAGGAGGAGGAGGAGGAGGAGGAAGAAGGGGACGACGACGACGACGACGTCGACGACGACGACGACGAAAAGGAGGAGGGGGGAGGATCGGAGAGGGGGAAGAGGAGGACGACGAGGAGGAACATGACGACAATGGAGGACGATGATGGAAGGACGAGGGGGGGAGAGGGAGGACGAGGAAGAAGAAAGGAGGAGGAGGAGGACGAGGTGGAGGAGGAGGACGACGATGACGATGAGGACGAGGACAAGGACGAGGAAGAGGAGGAGGAGGGGGAGGAGGAGGAGGAGGCGGAGGAGGAGGAGGAGGAGGAGGAGGAGGAGGAGGAGGAGGAGGAGGAGGAGGAGGAGGAGGAGGGGGAGAAGGAGAGCGCCATCGACAGGGTAGGTGGGGGCCACGAGGTCCGCCGGCTTGACGACGCCCGCGTCGCCCGCGCCCGCCCCCTCACTCTTATCCGCAATTGCGGGGTGCTATATATTTCTTCGGGCGCGCGCCTGCGACAGGTGTGCTGATCTGCACGCCAGCGGATCATCGTTCGCTGGGCCCCGGCTGGAGCACAGGCTGCAGGCAAGCAGACACAATGCCGACACCGTGTGACCAGCAATCACAGGCCCCCCAGTGAGCAAGGCCTGAGCAGGTGGACAAGGGAGGGGAGAGGAGGAATGGAGGGGGGCGACCCACGCCCGCCACTGTCCTCCATCTCCTGCCGGTGCTGAGCGTCGAGGTCCCTCAGTTCCTGCTCGTTCTCGGCGCCGTCCTGTTCCAGCATCGCGTCGAAGCGCTCCTGGGCCGCGAGGAGGGCCTTCGCGGCCCTTTCCCCCTACCAGGTGCGTGGTCGTGTCGATGGGGACCGTCTGCTGCCTCTCCTCCTCCTCCTCCTCCTCCTCCTCCTCCTCCTCCTCCTCGTCCTCGTCCTCCTCCTCCTCCTTCTCCCTCCTCCCTCTTCCTCCTCCTCTTCTCGTTTTCTCCTCCTCCTCCCCCCTCCTCCTCCTCCTCCTGCTCCTCCTCCTCTTCTCCTCCTCGTGGCGCAGCGAAGCAGCCTGAAGACGCCTGGACCCGCCCCTCCTGCGTAAGTCTGTCGGCACTCCAGACTTCCCACGCAAGCGCCATCCAACGTGCAATTGCAGGCGACAGCTCCCCACATCAACGCGGGTGCCTTTTTTGCTCGTCGAGCTTCCAAGGAGATTGCTATGATATGATGGCTGTTTTCCGATCCTGTGATGTGCGGGAGGAATTTACGGCGCCGATGGCTCTGGAGGGCACCATGCCACCGACCCCATCTTGCGCCAGGTGATTTTTGGCTTCGCGCGCCTGTGCATTGTTGCTGTTCATCACGGCGGGTGACTGGATAGAGAAGTAGAGGGAGAAAGGAGGGAACATACATGTCTGCATGTGTTCGTTCACCAAACATTGATGTCCGAAGGGCAATCATATTGTTTCGCCTCTTGAATTCCCTTGGGCTTCCTCACGGAGTCCTCTTGGGGGTTTCTGGGTCCCTGGGGCCATATTGGCCGTCTTGGGGCCCTCTTGGACTGTCTGGGGGAACCGTGGGGCCGTCTTGGGGTATTTTGGACGCCCTCTCAAGGTCTTCTTGGGCCGTCTTGGGGCCATCTGGTGGGCGTTTTGGGCCGTCTCGGGGCGACTCGGGAGACCTTTCGGGTCGTTTTGGGTGGTCGGGAGGCCGAAACAGCGAGAGCGCAACAAACATGGGAAAACCAACATGACATGAAATAGTGCCTAGGGAGGAGCCCTCTCTGTGTCCTCTTGGGGTGTTATGGGGGCATCGGTCTGTGGTTCAAAGATGGGGTCCTGAGGGATGGGGCCCCAAAGGATAGGAAGGGATCCAAGGGTGGATTTGCGATGCTTGAAGCACCTCGTCCTTAGGACCCCATCCCTCACGTCCCCAATTTTGACCGCCGAATCTGGGGCCGTAGTGATGCCGTCTTGGGCTTCTTGCAGGTATCTGAAGCCCAACTGGAGTCTCTGGTGCCGTTTTGGGAGCCTCGTGGTGGCTTCGCCGAAGCTCCGGGCGGCCTCTAAAGGGAACGGGGACTAGATCGTACACGGGAAGTCCCGCTGGGGGGGCCTCGGAGTGGGGATCTCCCGTGTTCTGACAGATGACGAGTCCAAAAGTCCGCCGGCCCTTCGTCGTGTGTGAGACGCTGTCTTCGTCTTCTTCTTCTTCGTCGTCGTCGCCAGTCCAGGAAAATGAGGAAGGAGCAGGAAGAAGCAACGTCGTAGTCAAGTCGACTCCCTTCCTCTTTACCCCTCCCTGACCAGAGGGGGGTAGAGGCAAGGGGGGAAGTAGGGGAGGTAAAGGGTTTTTTTTAGGGGGGGAGGGCCCGCCACCGCGGCGATGCCTCAGGCGACGGCGAGCACACCGACGGGGCCCAGACTGCTTGAACATCAGAATGTGCGCGGGGCCTCGCTAGATCTGTGCTCGCCGTTTTGGCCGGTGGCGGGGCCTGAGCGGCGAGCTGCTTTGTGATTTTCTATTTCGGCACGTCGCTTGCACGCTTCGTCGCCCCATCGGAAGTCTCGTGAAAGCCCCAGTGGCTTCGCTCGCTTGGCGCCGCTGCGCCCGAACGGTGTCCTTACAGGACCACGTGACAAATGGCTCCAAGGGCCAGTGGGTGCCAAGTGCCGGGCTAACGCTTCAGGGTGCTGGCTGCGTAATCGTTTCACCCAAGGGGGAGGGGTTTCTGAATATCTTCGCCAGGTTGATTATGATGGTGATGGATGACGATGGTGACGATGATGCAGATGATGCAGATGATGATGATGATGATGCTGCTGCTGCTGCTGCTGCTGATGATGATGATGATGCTGATTATGATGATGATGCTGATGATGATGATGATGCTGATACTGGTGCTGGTGCTGGTGCTGATGAGGATGATGGCAAGGATGGTACTGAGAAGGTTAATGCTAGTGATAATGCTAATGATGCTGATGATGAAGGCGATGCAGCTGACGACAACGATGATGGCGACGACGGAAATGATGACGACAAGGATGAGGTGGAAGAGGAGAAGAGGGATGAAGAAGGAAGGACGGAGGAGACGCGCGGCGCTGCGAATTCAAAACGAGGGCCCAACACACAGGACGGTTGGAACCCTCACTCCCGAGGGGTCTCTCAAGGGCCCAGACGCTAATCTCCGAAATCTACCGGGGTTTGTCGCGCGCCCCCTGGGTTCCCCCGCGGCTTCCCGCATTATTTTTTCGAGCCCAAGACGACCCAAAGCCATGCCTAGAGGGCTTCAGGAGACCTTTCGGGCCGGGCGAAAGGGGGGAATAGCAAAGGGGGGGTTTGAGAATCAGCTCTCGTAGCTGATTTTCCCGGCTCCTGGCGCGCATGTATCGAGGAATGGGCCCGGCGGCGGGGCAGAAACCAGCTGCATACAGCAAATTTCGTACCCCCCCCTTTCCCAATCCCCCCCTTTCGTTCGGCCCGAACCTTCAAGACGACCCAAGAGGGCCCCTATACGCCCAGAGATCGCCCAAAGACGCCCAAAAAGGCCAAAAGACGCCCCTAAGAGGCCTCCAAGACGGCCCCAGAGGCCTCCGAGAGGCCCCGACGAAGGCGTCGTACGAGGCCGAGATCATTGATCCCGCCAGCCCTCTGGGTGACAGGCGGTCGAACGATGTCTTTCTTTCCTCTTCCATAACCCCTTCTTCACCTTCGGGGGGAGGTTAATCACGGTTCCTGATTAATTAACCCCCCCCCACCCGGCCGGCGGCCATCCCAGAATCATGCCGACTTCATGCGGGCCCGCCCCCCACCACTCCTATCAAAAACACTACAAACCGCACTCTGCCTCCACATTTGGAGCATACGCGGCCAACCCGATGCGGCCCCCCCCACAATCCTTGTCCAAAAACAGAGCAAAGTATACTTTGGGGCAAAGTCTTGAGTCATGTTCGTGAGGCCCGCGATCATTTTGTACTGTTTTTGCCAGGGACGGCGGGGGTGTCAGCATATTCGCTGCTGCGCGCAGGGCTACCATCCCTGGCAAAGACAATACAACACGCACCTCGCGGCTCAAGCGCGACCATCCCGCGATCACTGTCAAATGGTTTTTGGCAGGGACGGCGGGGGTGGTGTCGCGAGACCTGCCCTGCGCAGACTCAATTGTGGGTTTTGGTTTTCGACAAGGATGGCGGGGGCCGACATGTTTCCCGATGTGTGCTGTCACGTGCGCAGGCACACCTGACGCACCTGACGGCACACCTGGCGCACTTGGGGCACGTGGCGTATCTGGCGCACCCGGCGTGCCTGGCACGCTCGGGCCCCAGGGGTGCCTGGCGCGCGTTGCGCCCCTGGCACGCGTGGCGCACCTCGCCCAAGCGTCGCGCACCTGGGGTCGGCGTTGGTTTCCAGTAGCTGCCCATCTAAAGACGACCGCTGAACATGCTCAGGCTCGGGTGTTACTTATGTGTTGGGAGGGCCGGTGGGAGTGAGCTAGACGGCTTGCGGGCGGGTGGGTAGCGTGACCCCTCCCCCTACCCCCTCCTCTGGACCTGGACGGGGGGGCGTCGCCGGTCGTTAGAGGGTCCTCTTTCGCCCAAGATGGCTCCAAGAGGGCCTCAGATAGCCCAAGACAGCCTCCAAGATCGCTCAAGATAGCCCAACATGGCTGAAAATAGCTAGCAGCATGCATCCAAGAGGCCCCAAGAGGGCCACAAGAAGGTTCCAGGTGCTTTTGGAGACCCCTCAGGACCTCCCCGAGAAGCCAAACTTATTTAAACACCTGGGGAAAACTAATGACTTTGGCCTTGTCGCCTTTTCGCTTCCGATGCGCTTGTGAAGCCTCAAGATGGCCCCCAAATGATCCAACCGAGCTCCAAGAAGGGCCCAAGAGGCCCCCAAGACGGCCCCAAGAGCGCCCAAGATCGCCCCACGAGGGCCCCAAGACCGCCCCAAAAGGCTTTTCGATAGGCCAGGAAGGGCGACGAAAATCGAGGACCCCCTTCCTTTGATCGATGGTCTCCAAGATGGCCCCAGGCGTTCCGTAGCTCCCAGGAGAGTTCCAAGAGAGCCCAAAGAGGGCCCCAAGAGAGGCCCCAAGAGGGCCAAAGAGACGCCCCAAAAGAGCCCCAAGAGGGCCCCAAAAGAGCCCCAAGAGGACCCCAAGACGCCCCCCCCAAAGCCCCATACCTCCAAGAAGGCCTCCGATGCTCCAAGATAGCCTCCAACATGGCTCAACACGTTCCTCCCCCTCCTCTCTTTGACCGCTCTGTTTCACTATATGCGTCTCGTGGGCAGGGCTTCTGAATTGGCTGGTGGGGATTCGCGAAGCGTGAACAATTTCCCATTGGTTTTCGTACCGTTTTTGTCCTGCTCGTTTTTTCGGCTTACCGACGCTCTAGGACGGCCCAAGAGGCCTCCAAGGCCAAGCCTCCAAGACCGCCCCAGGACGGCCCGAGGCGCGCCCGAAACGGCCCCGAGATGGCCCAAGAGTGCCCCAAGACGGTGCCAAGAGGCTCCTCCTCCTCCTCCTCCTCCTCCTCCTTCTCCTCCTCCTCCTCCTCCTCCTCCTCCTCCCCCTCCCCCTCCCCCTCGTCCTCCCCCTCGTCCTCCCCCTCGTCCTCCCCAAGAGGGGGACCCCGAATTTCAAACTCGAGCTTCCCGCCCAGAGAGGGCCCCCCCCCAGCGAGGGCAGGTCGCTGGAGGTCCCGGGCCTGGCCGGGGAAGCCCTCTGTGTTGTGGTGTTGGGGGGCAGCCGCCGCAGCCCGCCCGCCCCGCAGCACGGGAAGTCGGAGGAGGGAGGTGCCCTTCGGTCGGGC